TCAGCGTGCCATGCCGACGACAGCTTGGAGAGAGAGAGAGAGAGAGACAAAAAAAGAGCGAAAGGAGTAGCAAGCTGATGAAACAGAAGCATATCTTTTGAAGTGAAAGTTACATATGTAATCTTCTTGCTACCAGCTCCAACAGCATTTGCAGCAAAAAACGAGCGTTTTCGACAAAGGTGCTGCCTTGGTGGCTTTGACCATCGTCCTCCTCGAAGTAGACAAATCGGTTGAGGACCCAGACTGTGTTGAGCAAAGTTATGGAGCAAACCCAGCATGCCAAGAGATGATTTGCATCCCCACACAGTGAGGCACAATTGGCACTTGTTTATTCAACTTTCTCTTTGTTTCATAAGTTTTTCACTAAGTCTTACTGTTTTTCTCAGCTTTTTTCCTTCATTGTGTGGAGTGAGGCGCACGGCGAGGCGGAGCTGGGAATCCTTGTAACTTTGGGTGTCTCAACAGTGCAGGGCAGTCTCAGGAGGGGCTATAGGTCGTGGAGAAGAAAACACTTTAGAGAAAGCCACTGTGGATGGTCTCTGAATGCATTCATCAGCAATGCCCTTTCTCATGGCGGGTCTTGCACTTCACTGCGCTGTCTTGATGTCGTTTGGTGTACTGTATGTTTATCTTTTTGCCTTGTCTCATGTTGCAGATCTTCTCTATAGCGTCCTTGCTCCTAGTAAGGCCAGGGGCCCCTAGTAGCGTCCTTGCTCCTACTTCAGAGAAAACCGCAGTCTGCGTTTTTCGCAAAATCTGAGGTGCCTGGCTGCTGTTGAGCTTCACCCGCGCCGGCGCACGCCCCTCGGACCTCCACGCGGCCGCGCGCCGCGGCGACCTGCGGCAGGTGCACCAGCGGCTGAGCGAAGGCCGAAGGGCCGAAGGGACGGGACCTGGCCACGATGCACTGCCACGGTTGGCCGAACTTTCAGGAGTAGAAGTAGGAGTTCCAAGTAGTAGTTACTACTAGTAAGGCACTTGTTACTACTAGTAAGGAGGGATGACATTGGATGAATTTAGCAGGGAGTTCGATGGCAAATTCTGCAACAGGACCAAGCTCACATGACTTGTGATGGGTTCCAAGACGTTTCGTGATCGACCAAAAACATCGGGTCTCAGGCAGTTCCACCGCAAGATTCGTTTGTCCCCTCTCTGGATTCGATTCGGGGAAGGCTACGATGTCTCGCGGCCACAGTGCACTGCCCTGCGGGAGACACCGCTTCATCTGGCCATCCGCAATCAGCACTTTGACTGTGTACCTTGGACGCACGAACTTCTTCCTCTTCGTTCTTCGTGGGCCTCCATCTAAAGGACATCTTGGGGTCTGTGCCATCTACTCTGAAACCACAGTAATTCTGTAAAGGTTTTGGACTCAAGGCATTTCATTTTTCGACACACTGGTGCTTTTCAATGCTTCTTTTGTTTGCTAAACATGAGTGAACACGGGTGATCCGGGTGGTCACCGTCTTGCAGGCCTCTCGACTCCTGGAAGAGGGTGCCGATCCACATTTGCCGGATGGCCAGGGAAATACACCTTTACACGCAGCATGCAGCTTTGGTGGTTGCCTGAGATCCTTGCAGAGTGGAGACGAGAGGGTCACCTTTGAACATTGAAACCCTGAGCACCAACGTCACCTTCTGAGTTTCCTGAGATTTGGACGAAGTCTTTCTTGAGATTTGATTGAAGAAAGACTGCGAGGTGATGCTGCCTTCATTCAGCAGCTGCTAGTCCCGCTGCCTGAGGCTGCCTCCCCTCAAGCCTGTCTCCGATCCCAAAAAACTGACCAGAGAGATATTCCGGAAGTGCAGACCGCACGTGCCAGGCCGGGGAGGACTACGTGGTGCGGAACGTGGCGCAGCGGAACGCGTGGGGCCAGTCGCCTGCCGAGCTTGCAAGCCTCCAAGGCAGCCTACCTGAGTGGCTGAAGAGGCATTTGAGGCCGGCTGGCTCATTGAGAGTGATTGGAGGCCATTGCTAGTAGGTTGCTAGTAGGCCATTGCTAGGCAAAGTCTACCTGATTGGGAGCTCCCAGGATGCGGTGAGGATGATGCGGAATGGAAGTTCAGTGACAAGCAAACCATGTTCTTTTTCTATCTTCTATGTTCACTGAACAGACAGTTCACCGCGGCCCCAAAGTGAGCGATCGACTCGGCTAGACGAAACAGGCCATTTTTCTGATTGAAGCCAGACAAACACATTATGGGACCAGTAACAAGGCCGCTACTAGTAGCTCCTGGCAATACTACTGGTAACAAGAAGCTACTAGGAACAAAGGGCATCGCTACTAACGGCTCTTCGTCCAGGATAACCTCAATGAACGCCAGTGTAGATCCCCGCCGAACGTGCGCGTTACTTGTGTGGAATTCACTGAGGGAGCTCGAGCGGCAAGAGCTTAAGCACTCTGAAGAATGCAAAGGCTTGGCGGCTTGGTAGTTGTATGGCACAGCCAGGTACAAGGGTACTTGGGTCGCATGATGTTGTCCTGCATGTGAAGCGCCATAACGTTCTTTGCTTCCTTGTTGATGTTTCCCGGCCTGTTGAGCTTTCTTCAAATGACTCATTCTCCGTCCTTCCATGTGAGCTCAGTGGCAAATGTATTGACAATCACGAAGACATTGCAAGAGAGTCTCAAAGATCCTTTGGCCGTGGCTTCCAAACAAGTATTCAGTATTCTGTTTTCCTTTTCTGTCCTTGTTTCTAAACCTAAAAAACTGCGCTTGTGTTTTTGTTTGATAATGGTTCTAAAGGTGAAGAGCTACTCTATTTTTCCCTTACAAATCTGACAATTACTTAGTGGAAGAGTATGGGTCAATCACCACCGCCAAACTGCCAGAAGCACCTCACACCACTCATGGTGACTCGATGATCCTCAATCAGAATGTATCTGAAGAGCCTTTAGGTCCTCCTCAGGTCCTTCTTAGGTCCTCCTAGATCCTTAGGTCTTGGGACGAGACAGCCATCTTTCCTGAAGACCTTCGGTCACCCGCCTCGGCGCCCGCCGCAGCGATCCACCTGACTCCAGGTGCCCCGCTGGTGGAGCGCTGCGACGCCGAGGAGTTGGCGTCCTTCTTCGGCATGGCCTGGGATCGACATGAATACGCCAAGGCTCCGCAGGACGTGCAGAAAGGCGCGGGTGTTGGAGTGCCATCGCTAGTAGGTTGGAGGCCATCGCTCTTAGGAGGCCATGGCCATGGCCTTAGGTTTTCCGAAAGAGCTTGAGGGAAGATGTGGAAAGTGGGTACATGGGGAGGACACGGAGATAGGATGGGTTCGATAAAGAGAGAGACGAGATGAAGAGGACAAGGGGAGCTATGAAGAGAAGAGTCCTTTGGTCGAGATGGCAGGGTGTTTTGACAAGAAGGGAATGTTTTCAAGCCCAGGGCAGAGGGCTGGTGTAGGGTGAGGGAAAGAGCGAAAGAAACTCTTCAGTAGAAGATGCGACACTTTTGAAGTAGAACCACGCATGTCCTTCACTATTCTAGAAGAAACACGTGCAAAGACGATTGAGATTTTTTGCTAGACTGAATAGTGGGAGATGAATAGTGCTAGACTGGCATCTCGCTTTGCGCCAGGGATGAAGACAGGTTTGGTGTCCTTCTTGTTTTCCCGCAGCGTCGGGGACCAGCTGGCGCGCGTCATCGATGGACTCCGGCAGGACAAGGCCTGGGTTAAGTCAAGATCGGACAGTCCTTTGCCTTTTCTGTGCAGTAGTAACAAGTGCCTTACTAGTAGTAACAGGTGCCTTACTAGTAGTAACAAGAAGCTATTAGAAACAAGTGCCTTACTAGTAGTAACAAGTGCCACGCTACTAGTAACAAGAAGCTATTAGTCAATTAAATTCTAATTACTTTTAGTTATTGTTTCTAATAGCAAACATTGTTACTACTAGTAAGGCACTTGTTACTAGAAGCGATGCACTTGTTCCTAGTAGCTTCTGTTTTTCCCTTTCATTCTTTTCGGTATTCTTTTCTTTCACCTTGAGACCTTTCTTTTCTACATCCTTTTTCTTCATTTTTATCTCAAAGTGAGATAAAGGGGTATCTAAAGCTTCCCTTAGTTGATGCATCTTTTGGCGAATCCTTTGACTTGTTGAGAACAGCACCTGAGCAATTGGATTCCAGCCTGTTCTGGCATTTGGGTAAATCCAACCGTAGGTGGCCGGCAAAACATTGCTTCTAGGTTGGAGGCCATCGCTACTAGGGTGGAGGCAGTCACTGCTAGGGTGGAGGCCGTGGCTCTTAAAGTCTTAGGTTGGAGGCCACCGCGTTTATGTACGGAACAAGTGCATCGCTTCTAGTAACAAGTGCCTTACTAGTAGTAACAAGAAGCTACTAGTAACTTCTTGTTACTACTAGCGTGGCACTTGTTCCTAGTAGTGATGCACTTGTTCCTAGTAGCTTCTTGTTGCTACTAGCGTGGCACTTGTTCCTAGTAGCTTCTTGTTGCTACTAGCGTGGCACTTGTTCCTAGTAGCGATGCACTTGTTCCTAGTAGCTTCATGTTACTACTAACGTGGCACTTGTTCCTAGTAGCTTCTTGTTACCACTAGCGGGGCACTTGTTCCTAGTAGCGATGCACTTGTTCCTAGTAGCTTCTTGTTACTACTAGCGTGGCACTTGTTCCTAGTAGCTTCTTGTTACTACTAGCGCGGCACTTGTTCCTAGTAGCGACGCACTTGTTCCAAGTAGCGATGCACTTGTTTCGTTTGCAGATGTGCTTTGATGTGCTTTCAGGATGGCTTCCACATCATGTCCCTGAAGCCGGCACCGCGCCTGCACCGAGATGGGTGGTTTTCGTGGTTTTCCGTTTCAACTTGGACGAATTGTATCCGAGGTCAAGGCTCTTGGTTCTGGAGGAGAAGTGATGAATCTGACTGTTTGGTCTGATTTGCATGGAGTTCAAGATTTTGGGTTTAGAAGTTCATACAGCTCTTGTGAATTGTTGGCATTCATATTCTTGGCGTGTCAAATTCGATCAATGGCGAAAGCGCTACCGGCCTGATTCGCTTCAAGCAGTTCACAGCGCATTGACGTAATCCGTCCACGACGCTTTCGCCAGCCGGGTTCCCGGTGCTCGCTCAGATGTCCGCAGGATTTGGGAAGGTGCTGAAGGTCTTGGACAAGAGAACGCAGAAGCACTATGCCATGAAGCTACAGCCCAAGGAGTGCGGGCGCTCGTGAAATGATGATGTGGGTGTGATGATGTGGATTCTCCGGGAGAAGACATTCAAATTCCGTGAACTCGGCGACTTGGCAGGGTTTGCTCTGACAGAAAGCACTACAAATGCATTTGTACATATTGGTACCCCTGCAAGAATAGGTTCTGTTCTAATCGGAACTTGTTTTGGGCATTTGCAGGTCCTTGATTTGCCACAGAACGGACAGCTGCCGTGCGCGTGCGCCAGGACCGGACCACCAAGTACGCCGTGAGGGAGGCACAGGCGCGAGGGCCTGCTTTGGTCGGTCCCTCTTTTCGTGAAAGCTGACGCCAAGACAAACCTATCGTGTGTTCAGATGGAGCTTTCTGTGTGTTTTCTGGTGCAAGAGCTTTCAAAAGTCTTTTTGAGGGCTGTACATTGATTTGGTGGTGAGCCCAACTTCCAAATGTTCGACTTACAATGCCGTTTGCCGTCAACAAGTTGGGTCAGCTTTCCTATACTCCTACTTCCCAAGCTCGGTGAAGCTCGTGTAGAACCAACACACGACCACGACTGTTTACACGTTTTCTCACCCTTCATAGGTTGGAAGCCATGGCTACTAGGGTGGAGGCCATTGCTACTAGGAACAAGGACGCTACTAGGGGCTCCTGGCCTTACTACTAGGAGCAAGAAGCTACTAGGAACGGCATCGCTACTAGGACACCAGCTCAGCTCTTAGCATCCAGGCCCTCCACAGTTCCTATCATGCCTTCATCGTGGGATTGGTGCATATCTTCCAGACGAGCGCCCACTACTGTATTGCAGCCCGGGCCGAGAATAGCGGAGTATGTTCTTTCTTTTGAACAGAGCAGAAAGTCGAACATCTCTGGTGGTGATGCTGTTGCAACGCAATTGTCCTCCATCGTTTGATCCAGTGATTCAATGTGGGAAATCTGGCATCACCAATGTCTATGAATGTCTCAGTCTCGAACATGTTCCCGAGTTGGCCGTCTTCACTGTCATTTTCAGTTTTTTTCTTGTCGGTGTGCGTTCTGAGGTCATGGAGCTATGCTTGGAGAACCTTAATGCAGCTTGGCAGCGAGTTTCAGCAAGGTCGAAGTAGGGAGTATAGAGGAACATGTTAACACAAACTTCAGGTTCCGTGCAAAGCCTTTCAATGTCTACTAGTAGCAAGAAGCTACTAGGGGCTCCTGGCATCGCTACTAGGAGCAAGGACGCTACGCCTTACTTGGAGCAAGGACGCTACCAGTAGCAAGGACGCTATCAGAAGTTTCTGCACCTTTCGCCTGGCCGTTATTCCACAGATCCACGTTGACTCGTGAGATCACGTGAGCTTTGACGAGTTAAGTTAAGTTTCCCTGAACATCTAGGAACCAAGTGATTGATTAGCGCGAGCTATACTACATCCTAGCTAGGAGCGAACTTTTCCTAGTGGCGAACTAGCTACTAGCTACCGTTTGCTTCTAGTAGCTATATACCTCTAGCTACCTCCCACTTCTCCTTCCCCCCCCCCCCGGCGCCCAAAAACCTGTTCCCCTCGTCTCATCCTGTCTCCGGTCGCCGAGGCGCGGATCCTGCGGACCCGGAGCGCTGGCCGCGCGGAGGGGCTCCCGGGGCCGCTCTGTGCGCGGTACACGGCCTGCGTGGCGCTGGCCTTGGAATATCTCCACATCAAGGAGACGTCGGCGAGTTTGGCAGCGACCAAGGAACTCAAGAGGCTCTTTTGATCTGGATTTTGCCCAACATACTTCTTCCTTACCAATTGCCAAAAACGAGGTTGCTATTTGCAAGGTGTTCGGATGTCTTCGGTTGGGAATGCCTTCTAGGCCTTTGTCACCAACAACACATGAATACTGAAACTGCAGAGACCCCATTGGCCCGGCTGCGCAGGAGATCGTTTTTCGCGACCTGAAGCCAGAAAATGTTCTAGTGTCTTGGGTGTGATATTGGTCGACCTGACCTCCCCACAGAGTTTCTTTGCCGCGATACGGATAGTTGGAATTGCAACAAATGAGCAGTGTTTCCTGCCGAATGCCTCATTCATCCAAAGATGTTCATACCTATGACCATGCAGTGTAATTTCCGTGCACTGCCAAACCACTAAGATCACGAATGGCGTGGATCAGAACGGTGTCGCCAAGTTAGCAGACTTCGGTCTGGCTTGTCCCATGCGGCTCGAGGCGCATCTGGGGATATTTTCTTTTCCAGATGTACAAGGTAAGCGATGCCGGGTCGTGGGGAGAAGGACACACTTTTTTGGAAGCCAATGGTCGTTGACACGTTTGCTTCACGGCAGGAGAACCCCAGCCCTCCGAAGGGGCCACAAACTCTGAACTCGATCTTCGATGGCAGCGGTTTTCCCACACCTGATGCAGGTGGGGGTTCAGCGAAGGACTTGGGATGGAATTGACAGACCACCGGCCCTGTTTAGGCCAAATCTCCAGTAAGTCTTGTGCATTGGCCAAATGCTTAAGGCGTAAATATATTAATAGCATATTAATATCTTAATGTATAATAACTTTTTTGTTACTACTAGTAAGGCGCCTGTTACTACTAGCGTGGCACTTGTTTCTACTAGCGAACCTTGTTACTACCAAAGACTTCTTGAAAGCTGAGCAGTTTCGAATCACAGCACTCCTCAAAACACATATGGTCTTCTGCGAGAATGTTGTGCCTAAGGTTCGGAGCTTTGTATGGAAGATAGAGACACGATAGAATCTGTTCTTGTGATTTGCAATTTTTTGGACCCTCACTCTCTCGTGCCTAGGCACTCCTGCTTTCATGGCAGCAGAGGTCTTTTTGCGCTGTGCAACGCCTGTTGACCTCTCCGACTCTGATGCCTCTTGCCTCAACGAAGCCGCACGCCACCTAGAAACAAGAACGGCACTGGCACAGCCATGCCCTTTGCTCCTAGTAGCAAGGATGCTACTAGTAGCTATTTGCTCCTAGTAGTAAGGCCAGGAGCCCCTAGTAGCGCCCTTGTTCCTAGTAGCGATGCCCTTTGCCACCAGGAACAGTTGTTTTCCTTGAGACTCTTCTTCCTTGCTTAATCTTTTCATATCTTTTCCTTTCTCTTCTGCTCACCTCCAGAAGCAACATTTCTAGCAGAAGGCCCTTTCTCTTGCCTGAAGTCATCACTCTGAGAATGCTTGCCCATACTCCTTCCACCCTCGCCGGTGGAACTCTGTGGCAGAGATGCCTGTGATGCATTTGGCACTGAAGCAGTCAACTTACACGGTGCTGGCTATGCAACTCAAGACATTTGCATAACAAGAATCAATTCTTCCACCAAACCCCGAGAATATGCAAGCCAAATAATGGGTTGGAAGGCCATCGCTATTAGGTTGGAGGCCATCGCTATTATATAGGTTGGAGGCCATCGCTACTAGCGTGGAGGCCATCGCAGGTTGGAGGCCATCGCCACTAGCGTGGAGGCCATCGCTATTAGGTTGGAGGCCATCGCTACTAGCGTGGAGGCCATCGCAACTAGCGTGAAGGCCATCGCTATTAGGTTGGAGGCCATCGCTACTAGCGTGGAGGCC